TCACGACGAGTCAGCGGAGTGGATGTGCAGCGATACACGAGGCTGTTGCTGCTCCTTCTAGATTTGGGGGGTTCTTGTTCCGAACACTTCGGGGAACCTAGTGAGCCTCCGTTTTCTGCATCATATCACCCGGTTCGAGGATATAGCCAGCTACAGCTGGGGTGGTGCTGTCCTCTCATTTTTGTACAGGCAGATGTGTCGGGCTTCCATGGGCACACAGAGAGACGTTTGTGGCTTCCTGCCGCTTCTACAGGTGACAACATATTCAACGAATATGTCCGTTAGTTACAATTCTACGTAGTTATAGTTTATCTGACACTATACATCAACTTTCTATGTTAGGTTTGGGTCTATGAGCGATTTCTGCAGCTTCGGCCACCTCTACCACAGCTACCGGCTAATGTAGACATTCCGAATCTCCCTCTAGCTTGTAGGTGGGTTATGCGTCGTAGACTTGAACGAGAGTATGATGCCCATCATAATCTCCCCCGCATCAGGGATGTCTTGGATTTGCTGGAGGACGCACAGGTGAATATCTAACTAAACGTACCAGTTATTGTTTAATTTAGTGTTGCGCATACTAACGGTTTGTGTTGTTATTTGATAGTTCATCTGGACGCCGTACAGCGAGGAGGTGATAGGTACCCTGCCAGCGTATTGTACGTTCGGCCGACATATTTGGAGGGCTTCTGTCCCTCTCACATGCCTCGATATTGTGGAGCATCATGCCTCAGAGCGGGTTTTTCGTCAGTTTGGCCTGCCGCAGCCTATACCGACTCCGCCTGCATGGCATCCTTTACATTATGAGAGGGATGATCGGTCTAGGGTGGACGACACATTTATTGACTGGCTTAACGCCCAGCTGGCTATTTGGGACAGGCGAGGTGACTTAAACCCCACTCCGCAGCACTTTCCTATTGAAGGTTATATGCAATGGTACCGCACTGTTTCCCGACTTTTTATCGGGAACCCAGTTCATCAGGCAGAAGGTCGGTACGTCTCATAAGCCGGGAGACACGAGGCTCTGGTATGTTTTCTGTTATAATTAATTATATACCTGTAATTTCGTGCCAAATACGTAGTTTAAATTCTTTACTTTTGCGCAGACGATTGGATTGCATACGGTCTATCGTATGGGGCAGCAGATGCAGAGTTATGTCCACGATCCTGTGGTCATGCAGGACTACAGTCGTCGATTCATGGATTTGGCTGCCCAGACATTGCAGCGAGCCCGATCGGATCAGCGTTTAGCACACGAGGCTGATTATATTGACCCAGCCACGTACCAGCGAGGTCATGGTATCCCACGAGGTGGTGGTGCCCGACGAGGTGGTGGTGCCCGACGAGCTGCTGGTGCCCGACGACCTCGTGCTGCCCGAGGAGGTGGTGTTCAGCAGGGGGGCCATGATGCTCCTGATGATGATGTTGCTGCTGATATGGCAGGTGGCATGCACGAGACTGACATGCCATCTTACAGCCTGGGAATTTTTGACACTCCAATGCCATCACAGATGACCCCATCGGGTCAACTATTGATCACGGGCTCGGATTTTCAAGGAGCTGATTGGGGTAGATATTTCCCTGGCCCGTCTACCACTGATGAGGGTCGACCGACCCGAGATTTATTTAGTGGGCGCCGACTGAGTTATGGCAGCTCTTCACATGCGCAAGTATGAGTTTATTAGTATTGAATTTGAATTTGTTTTAACTATAACTTATTTATTTTGTTACACTATATTTAATTTCCTTATTTCAGGCTTCATGTGATGCTGCGACAGATGACTACATTCAGGATCCAGACACGATTATGGTAAGATAATATAAATTGTTATGAATTATTTATGAATTATTATGTAGTTTTCTAAACTAAGTTTTATATTATTATGTAGCATTCTACTGGACCTGACAGCACCATCGATACATGTCATCCTGCGCCGCATCCGGCTATAAGGAGAAAACTTGATGATGATGATCCTGATAGCGTACCCGGGCGGGAGGGGATACGCTTCAGGCCGACGGCTACATTGAGACACACCGGATGCGGGACACATTGAGTCGGCCTTCCTTTTTTTTTATTTGGTGTAAATAATATTTTTGTACACATTAACAACAATATTTAATTGAATATATCCATTACTTTTTTTAGTTCTCCATGTGTTTTATTGTTTCGTATAACAACACAAGCATTTAAACTTAAATGCCACTAATTAAAATAAATTTCAGTACAACAAACAAGGAAAACATAACAACAACACAAACACAAACATAACACGCCAACATAATAAAAATACATAAAATATGAAAAATACACTAAGCACATACAGGCCATTATTTAGTCCCGGCTGCCATTTATTCTCCGCTTCAACCACTTAAATCGTTGTTCCATTTGTTCTTTTTCTTCTTCTAACTCTTTCACTCTCGCCTTCACCTCCGCAAGTTCCCGTTTATATTTATCGTTGTTCTTCTAGTGTACCTAACTACCATGAGTTGATGTTGTAATAATTAGTAATATGTGTATGTTGCTGATTTATGAAATAAAATATGCTGTAATAAAATTAATTTTTCCAGATCCATTACATTACCACTCTCTATATATAAGAAATAAAGATACTTTGACATTAACATAATTCAACTTTCACAATATTTGGTTTTCGATTCTAGATAATGGAAAGAAATATCAGTTCACTTATTTCACCTTTCTTTCGTTATTTTTTTCCTCTAGGAATATTTAAATGTAACACGAATTTTCATTAGTATTGATGTTGTTGTTCTTGTCGAACTGAAAAAGCTGACCAGCTGACATAAAGTAGTCTGTTCAACATCATGATATGCAACACGCTTAAATTATAGCGCCATTATCACCTGGTTATTGTGTGTTGTCTCTGCGAACTGAAAAAGCTGACACGACTGACATAAATAGTCTTGTCAACATCCATGATATGTAACACGCTACACTAACTATAGCGCATTATACCTGGCGCTTATGTGTGTGTTGTTTGTCAACTGAAAAGAGTGACCAGCTGACAAAGTAGTCTTGTCAACATCATGATATGTAACACGCTACAATGATATAGCGCCATATACACTGCCTTGATGGCATGTTTGGTGTCTTGTCAAACTGAAAAGTCTGACCAGCTTGACATAAGTAGTCTTGTCAACATTCATGATATGTAACACGCTAAATATAACGCCATTATACCTGGCGTTATGTGTGTGTTTGTCTTGTCGAACTGAAAAAACTGACCAGCTGACATAAATATTTGAACATCCAATCAGATACAACACGCTAAATATAGCGCCATTATACCTGGCGTTATGTGGTGTTGTCTTGTGCTAAATATAGCGCCATTATACCTGGTGTATGTGTGTGTTTCTCTCGCCTATAAATAAACGGGTTCATTGTTTAGTCATTTTGTTGTGCTTAAAATTTACTAAACGCAAATATTTCATTAAAAGAAAGATTTTTTTTTACTAAAAGGAAAATATTCACAAATGTCTCAACCTCTTCGTCCACCAATGCTACTGTGGAAAAGCATGCGTGTAATGAACAGTTGCTGGGAAGGGTCGTTGATGTTGGACGCCGCTACTGGCACGTATGAACCAGTTGTACAAGGTTCCCGCGAACCTATGTGTGAGTTGATGAATGGGTTGACTAACCATTGTTATCAGGAATGCTACAGAGAAACACTGCAATCTCTTCATAATAAGTTGGTTATGCAACTGGAGTACAAAGAGGAAATGCGATTAGAATTTATTACCAGAAATGAGGGAGAAACTAAAAGGCAGGTAGAGATGACAAAATGGAGAGCGAATGGAATTGTGAAGGCACAGAAAGGAACGTAAAA